TAATTCTTTGCCACCACTAAAAGAGCTGCTATAAATATTTTTGTACATACAGGTCCTTTTCTTTTTTCTTTTTTATCTCTTTGGGATACAGAGGTATTGCTGGGTCAAAGGGCATATATGGTTTTATAGCCCTTTGGGCATAATTCCATGATATTCTACAGAATGGTTGAATCAGTATACAACTTCATCAACAGTGCATCAATGTCTTAATTTTCCCATATGCCCTCCAGCATTTGTCATTTTACTTTTCTATCATATTAACCAATCTGATAGGTGTGGGGGAGTAGCTCAGAGTTGTTTTAATTTGTCCTTCTCTAATTAATAGTGATTTAGAGCATTTTTACATATGATTGTAGATAGCTTTGATTACTTCATCTGAAAACTGCCTGTAGATATCCTTTGGCAATTTGTCAATTGGGGAATGTCTCATTTCCATAAATTCAACTCGGTCCTCCATATATTTGAGAAATGAGCTATTTATCAGAGAAACTTGTAATTTTTTTTCATAGTTATGATTACTACATGTTATTTCTTAGGACCCAATAATATTCCATTATACTGATCATATATTCATAAATTTTGGTGTTTACTTGCTGTCTTCCTCTATTGAATGCAAACAAACTCCTTGAAGAACTTTCATTTTATGTCTTTGTATCCCCAGGAGCTTAATAAGTGCTTGCTGATTGAGTCATAATTGTGAATGAATTAAATGGAATTAATTAAGCATTACGAAATGTCAGTTGGTATATAGAAAAAGAGCATTGTACTGGGAAGTCAGCAGACCTAGTTGTGAGTCCTAGCTCCTCACTTACTTGTGACCTTGGCCAAATCATTTCCCTTCTCTGGGCCTGAGTTTTTCCTCTGGAGGGAATATCCTTGATAATATTTGTATTACCAACTACACAGGTTTGTTATTTGAATCAAATGAGATAATGGGTGTTAATAGCTAAAGTCACTATACAGATGTAAGTTATTAATATCACTTACTATCATTCTTGCTGGCTTCTAGGAATCTAATCTTGTTAGAATAAGTTACCGATATCTAACAATTCTTGAATGTGTTGTAAGAGAGCCTTTTTTGGGTGTTTCTCTTCCATGAATTAACTTGTTTTCAATGGTTCACCTTTTGGCTATAGTCAAATGAGAAACTGGTTGCCAAACTCTGTATCTGTGGATATTTGTACATACACACATATTTCTATTTCTCCTTCTGTCTCTACACACACACACACACACACACACACACACACACACACACACACACACACACATACTCACACATATTAAGTGCTATGGGACTGTGAGCTTCCGTGGTGGGTGAAAGATGAAATGACTGAGGAAAACAAAGGTTTGATCTTCTAAGCATGGTTGTTTTGGTGCAATTCTCCATTCTCTTGGCTTCTGAGCTAAAGTAAATCTTCTTTAAATACTTACCCTCCCTGAGTTCTTTAAGACAGCACTTTCTGAATGCTTCTTTAACAATATCAACAAACATGCCTGAGAGAGGCAGCAGCCTAGCAGAAAGAGGGTGCTGCATGTGGATTCAGAGGGCCTTGACTCCTCTGGGCCTCAAGTCCTGATCTGTGAAATGAGGGGGTGGACTAGATGACCTCTTGTATTCCTTTTAGTTTGAATTATGTTAATATGATCCTATGCTTTGGTTTTTAAAAGTCTCCTATGCAAGAAAGCCCTCTTTGGGATTTAGGGTACTGTCTTTTTTCCTTGCACTTCAGAGCAGCTCCTCTGTGAAACTCATTTAAATGGAAGGAAAACACCTTCTGTCTCTACTCTGAAGAGGGCAAGTGTGTGGAGCCCTGGGCCTAGACCTTTAGGCAAGAGGTTCCCAGGCATCTGAGTGCCTCAGCAGCAGGACTCATCCAGGAAATAAAAGGGAGGGGAGGTGTGACTTATCACACTTCACAGTTGTTTGTCTGCTCCATTTGGGTGCATGTGGCCTGGCTCCAGGGGTGTGCTGGAGTCAATTCAAACCAGTAAACTCAATTGTTCAATTTTCAGTGTGAGCATTTAAAATCACTTTGGGATTACAAATTAGAGCTAGGTTGATTGCTTTGCTGAGTAAATGATGGAGGCGATGTTAATAAGCAGATTAAACTTAAAAGTGTGTCTTGTGAATAGTTTTTGGGTTTTTTTTCCATATTGGAAAGTTGGTCGTTAAACATTTACCAGCACACCACTGCCTGGCTCCACTGTGCAGCCAAGGTCTCTCTCCAGTTTGGATTTTCTGTCTCTCTCATCCTTCTCTACCCTCAGTGTTTCCTGTGAAACACTGAACATATTTCCTACTGGGCATGACTTTCCCTGGGGATAGGATGAGGTGAGCACAGCCTCTAGTCAGATTCTTCACCTGGTCACCTGAGGCTGGCATGGTAGATGACCAGAAGTGCATCCAGACCCAAGAGCTGTGACTGGTTCCCTCACACTGTGGCTGGGAAAGGAGAGCTGTTGTTTGTATTCATTCTCCCTACCCCCTGACTTGGGTTTGAAGTCTGCAGGTCGGCCAGGAGTGTTGGTAGGGGGTGGGGGTGGGGGTAGACTATAAAAGCCTTAGGAAGTGAATAGAAAGCAGTGGCCCTGGCTGGGAAATTGGCACTCCCCCATCCCCATACACCCAAAATATAGTGGAGTTAAAAGTGTACCCTCTTTGGGAGAAGGATCTCACTTGGGGAGAAGTAAGGACTCCTACCCCAAGCAAAACCAGGTTGAGGAGTCATAGCTTGGCAGCCAGGATGGGGGTGGGGTGGGGGAGTAGGATGGGTAGTAAAGCAGTAGATCTAGGAACAGCTACTCTTTGGGTAGATGAGGATTATGGGAAATAGGGTGGAAGACAGACTGCTCTGAGCAAAGGTGGGCAACAGGCTGGGGGGTGGGGCTGGATGGGGCCTGGAGCTTGATTAAGTTTGAGCAGAGACTAGTTGGGAGCCATCTGAGTTGGTAGATGGTAGCTTGCTGTGGGGGTCTGCTCTGCCAAAGTGGGACCAGGGCAGGGCCTGGATGGGCAGAGAGAGCTGACCCACACTGAGCAAGACAAGACAGGGGCAAGACAGCAGGGACTAGGCTGGACATGGACAAGGGCAGAGCATGCAGGTTGATAACTAACTGTATGCCCAAAGTAGGAGAATGAGCCCAACTACTGGAAACCTTGGGAGACCTGGGATTGGGGTGGGGTAGGAGTGGAGAAAGGCAAAAAATTGGAAGAGGCAGCATGGAATAATGCATTGGATACTGGATTTGGTGTTAAGAGGAACTGAGGTCAAATCCCACCTCAGACATATTGTGTAATATTGGACAAGTCATTTTACCTTTCTAGACTTCAGTTTCTTTGACTGTAAAATAAGATGAGGGGGTTGGAGTCAATGGTCTTAATGGCTAGAGTCTATGATCTTGGCAAAACAATATATTTCTCAGCTTAACAAACAAGCACATGCATCCATCTTCTAGGATGGAAGAAGACTTCTTTTGAAAGGGGCAGGAAACTGCCAGTGTCACTAAGTCCTGGTGCCTTTGGCCTCCCATGGGTAACTTAAAGTTCCCTTTGCCCCAGGCAAAGCCACTTGTGCAAATGACTCGAAGTAAGGGTCCATTTCCCTAACTTCAGGAAAGACAGCATTTTCAACCATGGTGGAGGTCTCAGAGTTTCCCACTTCCTCTTTCCAGGTCTCTGACAAGTCCCAGCCCCTCCTGGAGGCTGCCTGCCTGGACACCTAGGGCCTCAGGGGACTCAAGAGGGAGTTCTGTGGGCCAGGCTTTGCTTTCTGGGGACCACGGGTGCTCTCAACCCAGGAGTTCGGTGTTGAGTAGAACATACCAATTTTTCCATAGCTTCAAGACTCAACCTTTTTTGGCTAGTAGGAGGGAGATGAAGAAATTGTGAGTGAAGAGGTATCATGAGGTCCAGCCCCTACACTCCTTTATTGCCCCACCCACTGGAATGTGCACTGGGGTGGAGGGAGAGTAAGTCATCCTCATGCTACCCTAGGATGCTAGAAACTACTTAACCCTGACAGAGATTGTCTTACGGAAGGATCTCTACCCCCTGCTCACCCTCAGGACCCAAAGGCTTGGAGGTAACCTTGCCCATAACCCAAATCATCCCACAAGGATTTCTTGAAGGATTCGGCCTTAGTACTGGGACCGTGGACAGCAACCACCAGTTTGACCCTCTGTCCAGTTAGCAAGGGTTATATTGCCCTCTCACTAGCTAGACCCTCTTCCCCAGGCACCCTCTAAGCAGGTTCCCAGGGTTCCTCTGGGGAAACGTGGCACTTCAGTGGGTGAAGGCTTAACTTGGAAATCACCTTCATTTGCTTTTGGACATATCACCTCTCCTCAAAAATCTCTACAACCCACAGGGACCCTAGGATCCTTGAAGGATAATGAGAGGGTGCCAGAGTTTAGGAGCTGGGACCATATTTCCACCTTTTTGTGAATGTTCAGCCTGGGACACAGCCTTATCCCTATCCTTTCTGTCCTTTTGTGGGTTCCTAGGACCTCTAGCCCCTTTCCCACCAGTTCCCCACCTAGATGCTGGCAGGTCTCTTGGGAGTGAAAGGCATCGGTCAGGGAGCCTATTGATCCTCCTCTATGTCTATACCTTCCCATTAGTACTCCCCCAACTCCTATCTCCTCAGCCACCAGTGACCCCCAAGGGATCTTTTAACTTCTTCTATGGAACTATCTAGGGAGCTATCAATCAGGATCCTCCCTCCTCCCCCAAAGCTGGCCCCTGCAATGCTTATGAGTATAGCGAAGCAAAGTCCTTGCTTTGGACAGACAGCTGACAGGTGATTTTGAACCAACTCCTTAGTTCATCCCTTTTTTTGGGGGGGGGAGTTGGGGAAAGGTATATTTGCTTTCTATATGGAAGATGCCCCCTCTTAAAGATGTTTTTCTAAATATTGGAGAGGGGCTTGTCCTTTATTTTCGTGTGGTAAAAGAGTCCTAGAGAAAAGAAACACATACACCGAATCTCAAAAGGGGAGGAGAACATTTATTTTGGGGGGAGTAACACACAAATATATTCACAGAATCTAGTATGGACTCCTTAAGAGCCTAAGGTGTCTTGAGCTTGTAAGCTTGCAAGCTTGCTTGGACTTCCTCGAAGTTGCCGGGTTGGCGTCTTCTGGGTGGGGCAATTGAACCAGGCTCCTACCTCACTCAAGCAGCAAGGCAATACTGGAGGATTTAACTAGATAACTCCAGTTTTGACGTGCTGCTAGGGCACAGCCGAGCTGAAACTGGGAGTCCTCTCAAAGCATCGAGCCTCGTACGAAGCCAGGTTCAAAAAGCCACCAACCCAGCTGCAGAGCTGTGGGCTTGACCACGAAGCAATAGCTGAGTGGGGGTCTTTGGTCTTCTGGCTTGATTGACATGCCCTTTAGGAAAATGTAACAGCCCACGATGGTTTGCATCACCTTATCTCTACAAACCATGGCGTGCTGCTATTTCTCCTAAAGGATTCACGTGAAGTCACAGGTCTCCAGTGGAAAGGCTAAGGCAGTTTGAGAAAGATTTATTACATGACTTAAGGAAACAAAGCCAGAGAGGTACCATGAATGACTTTGTCTCAACCAGCAGCTCGGAAATCTGTAAGAGACAATGGCAGAAACGTCTGAGACTCGATGAAGGGAGTGGCTTCCCCAAAAGCCTTTAACTTGTAAACGGCAACAGAGCTAAGAGTCTGAAGGGCCTTTCTGGATTGGGGCAAGGGCAGTGGGTACCAGCAGGTGGAGTGTAAAGAAGAGGTTTGGCATGGATTACTAGGGGAAAAGGAGGGATAAGGATAAGGGTGTGATGAATAATCTGGGGGTTGATTAAGGGGGAGGAGCAGCATGAGATGGCGCTGGGCCAGATGCCAGCCCCCATCCCATCTCCCTTCATAAGGGATATTTGGAGGCTAGTGGGAGGGATTCAGGGGAGGGGCAGCTCTGAAAGCAGCCCCACCCAATTAGGGGAAAGGGGTGGAGAAATTCCACTCTCTAGAGGACTGGGTGGGGTGGGGGGAGGGAGAGGAGAGGGAGTCAGGCAGAAGGTCTTTCTCTCTCTCTTTTAACTCTTAACTTATATGTAACTACTGGCGGCAGGTTAATTTTCAACTCAGATTCCCTAAAAGTCTTAGAAGTGGAGTACTCTTGGAAATCCTGTCTGCCCTTTGTGTTTTGAGAACATTACCAATACTTACCTACTCGGGAAGCTTCTTCCTGGTACGCAAAAAGAAAAATGGAATCTTGGCAAATGAAAATACTTAGAAAAATTTGATCTATACAGTAGGTCGAAAACAAATCTAAAACTCAAATTTTAAAAAATGTACTTTACAGGAAAGTGGCTGACCTAGGCTAGAAAGAATTCAAAGGGGAATCTTTCCAGATTAGCAGACTTTTCCAGATTTAGACCGATCTTAGAGTGAAACTACAATTTAGATGCCCACTAGTGAAAACTGCCCTGTTCAATTACAGCATTTTTTCCCCAAGTTCAACTGCCATTTCTGGCAAGTAACTTTCCTCAGATCTTACTTTTTAAAAGGTACACCTGGTGATTTTCTGCAGTACAAACAAATCTGACATATCACATTATTAAACAGATCTTTTCCCCTCTAAAGCAGTAACACAGAAAATCCCTGAATAGTTGATAGCACCAAATACATGCTAAAATCACATTTTACCATGTTACCTTTTTTTTTTTCCCTCTAAGAGTAACCAACCTCAGAGACAAGATACATACGTTTTCCTAACGCATTACAAGTATTCAGCAAGTACTACTGAGTTCCGGCAACTGGAGTTTACTGAAAAAGAGGTTAAGTCAGCATTTTAAAAACCATTAAATTGAAATTTCCTAAGAGGCAGTGTAAGATTAATTCTTACCAAATTTTCTCCGTGATCTTCCTGCTATGTGGAAGGAAGTTTTGTTATTCAGTAAAGAGAAGACTATCACTCATTACATTTCAAAAGGAAAACATACTCTTTTCAAAAGCAAAAAGCCATTTTACCTTATTTCTCGCTCCTCAGATGGTAAATTGCTCTGAAAGACAGAAAAAGCATTGGTTAGTTAAAAAACATCACCGAAATACTCAATTTGAACTTGCAAGTTTCCCTAGACTAGAGCATTACCTTACATAGCTGAGGAGCTGGTCGGCAGTCGCTGCTCGGTGGGCAGAGGGAGTCGGTGGGCAGAGAGAGGCTGGCTGAGCAGGCTCGGAGGTGGCAGAGGTGTTCCAGTGGGTTCCCTTCCACTCCTCTGCAACTCAGCCTCTCGCCTGCTCGGCTTTTATATCTTTGAGGTAACCCCTTCACTCCCAGAATCCTGGCAACCTTTTAAGGGTTTGAATGGCTTCCAAAGGCACCTCCCCTTGGCTCTAGAGGCTTCCTTCCCCCACCCCCACTCAAGTTTCCAGGGGCTTCTTGTCATTCTTGGCATCTGCGTCATTGGCTGATACAATAGACAAGGAATCAATATTCAAGTGTCACCAATTCCTTTTCACCCCCACATTTTTTCTCCCAGTTAGGCCCCTCAAACATCATGTTTGTGGCATCCCCCCCAAAAAAAGGCAACTTACTCTGTGGCAGATTTTTCTAGGTTGGATATTTAACTTTCATATGAACCGCCCCCCCATTTGCATTACCATAGTTTCTTTCCTTTCCCCTTTATGATATAAACCTCTCAACCATCGAATTCTTGTAAAACTTTGACTCCCCAAAGTTTTTCTTGTCTTTTTAGACTTCCCCTCCAAAACTATTATTGAAATGTTTAATTCGGGTGAGAAACTGCAAAGACTTACAGGGTGGGCTGGGCTGGGTTGGGAGAATGGCAGCACCCCTTCCCCAATTCATAGTTGTCTTTTTACATATTTGTTCCTTTCCCCCCTTTTTTTTTTGTCCAAGGGTCCACATGCTTTCCCCCCCCCCCCAGGTCTACACAAACTGCATGCCCTCCACCCAGGCAAAGCTGTGAGCCCACCGGTATTGGGATTTCTTTCTCTCTCCCCGCCCCTCCCCATCTCCTTATGTTCTCTTTCCACGCCACCCTCCTGTCCCATCCTCGGTGTTTTCTATTTTGTTTCCTCGGTTTTCTCTATTTTATTGTAAGCACTCGAAAAACGGATCCTTGGCTGTCCGAAGACAGCGTTTGTGATTTTGTTGAGGCACGGGAAAATTTTTTTTTCCAAGATTTTTTTTTCCAGGCTGGTGAAATCAAAGCAACTGGAGGTCGGGGAGTGGGGGACAAAACATCTTTGCAAATAATTCTTTAAAAACAACAACAAAAACATTCTTCTCATCTCTCGATTAAATCGCAAATGGCGCCGAAACTTAAAAAAACTTCTTAAATTTTACTGCAGCCTTTTTTTTTTTGCAAAGGTTTCTGGGACTTAGCTACCAGAGTTTGCTTCGCCCGGCGAGCCGGGGAGAGTGCGCTCCCGGCGAAAGCGCCCGTGCATCCCCCCAAGTGGCAGGGCTGGGGGCTGAGGCGAAGCTGTGGCCCAGAATGGGCGCAGGGGAAGGGGCGGCGGGGCGGCCCCGGACCCAGGAAAGAGCAGGGTTGATTCGGGTGGCGGGTTGCTGAGCGAGCCGCGCCACGGGTTCAGACGCGCAGACGGGCGAGCGCGCCAACGCCCCCGGCACCCCAGCCTCGGCCCGACGCCTTGGAAGCGGGCAGGCAGGACGGCTGTTCTGCTTTGAACGGCTTGGGCTAGCAAGCGACGGCGGTGGCAGAGGAAATGTACCCCCCAAATAAACGGCGAGCGCTAGCCAAAGCCCCGTGCAGACAGCCCCTGGTCCGGGGCGCACGCGGTCCTAGGTTGAGACCCCGGCGCGCTCCCTAAAGCGAGGAGCCCCGAGCTCAGGGCAGGGCGCCATGTTGTTGCCCACTGCCCCCGAGAAAACTAGCGCCTGTCGTGTCGCGGGTCCGGCCAATCTCAACTGGTCGGCCCTCGCGACCCCGGGCGGCCCGCTTCTAGAGGGTCCCGGGAGGGGGGAGAAGGGGATCCCACGCTCCCAGGAAGCCGAAGGAAATGGGTTCAGTAATGTTGCGGGAGAACGCTGCGGGGCTGCGACTGCGGGGCTTCTGCTTCCTCCGCTCGTACCCGCTGCTGGCGGGCGGGCTCGGCAATGCGCGAAGAGTTTGCGCACGAGGGACCCGGGGTCTGAGCCGGGCGGACGTGGAGGGCGAGGTGCCGGGCTTGGAGTTGGGGGGGGCGCAGCGGGGACCCCGGCACAACACAACCTTGCAGCGGGACCCTCGGGTGCACGACTCGGGCCGAGGGATTAAGAAGAGAAGGCTCCCAGAGTGCCGGGGGCCGTAGATGCAAACGTAGCGCGCGGGCTCGGAGGGAATATTTACTTTGTTCTCCCACTCTCTGAGGCGATGGCCCCCCGATTGACCGTTGCGTCTCTCGCAACAGCGGGGCTTATGGGGCTCAGGACAAAGCCGGGGCCGGGTAGGCGCTCGTCGGGTTTCCCAGCTAGCCAGGCGGGCTGGGCTAGTGCTCCTGGAGCAGCTGCCGAAGCCTCGCTCCAAGCCCATTCTCTGACCCCGGGCTCTTCGGAAGAGCCCAGGGTCGGCGACGTTGCAAACGGGCTTCTTGCACGCAGCGGTGCAAGGGGCTTCGGCTCAAACCCGCGTCTACGCAGTGCTTGCAAGGGGACCACGTCAGAACCTGGCATTGCTTCTACCCACATCTCTTTTGTCCGATGTTGGGGAAGGGTCCCTAAAAATTAGCCCGTGAGACTTCATTCCCCCCTTTTTCTGGGAAAATTCATATGAGGAAAGAACAAGTTATTTGGGGGTGACCAATTTTTTTTCTTGCCCGGAATTGACACAGCGCTCAGGATTTGAAAGAGAGAGCCGTCGATTTAGTGGGGTCAGCGCCCGAAAGGTCCTGAGGACATTTAATGGAAGAGAAAGAGGAGAAATAAAGCAGGTGGCAAACAAAAGTACCGGGGTTTGGGTTTTTGTTTTTAAAAAATTTTAATGCAAGAAAATCCGATCTCCAAAAGCATTTGTTTCTTAGGCTACAGGAAAATGCATCTCTATGTGTAACATTAATGTGTCCGTGGGCTGGTAAAACACTGTTTTAGACGGTGAGATGAGATTCAAAGCTACATTTCGACGGCGATTAAATTGACCCCAGACTGTTCAGTGCTGACAAGGCAGCTTTCCTCTCAGAGTCAGCGCCCTTTCCAAGCGATATTTTTTCAGTCTGTGAAAAAGAAAGGGGAACTGAGGGGAGAAGCAATATGGAAAAAAAAAGAGCCACCTAAAAAAAGTATTTCACATCTCTAACTTTTCTGGGGGATGAGGGCCTCCTAACTATAATAACCTTTAGGGGTCGAGGTGGCTGTTGCCTTTATTTTTTTCAATTGAGTCCTGAGGCCCCTGGGCCGAAATTTTGCTGGGCTTCAGCTCTGACAAGAGTAAGCCCAGAGAATCTGTCTAGATAATTTGTAAAGCTTGCTGGTTGGTATCCTGGGGGGGTGAAAGACTTTGTGTAATGTAATATTAGTGCTTTATGAATCAATTTTGTTGTTAATCCACCTGTATTTATGCTCGAATAGTCATTTCTCCCACCCTCAATTAACAGAAGGGAAGAGGGAACCCTATTAAGATGGAACAGGAATTGTGAATTTTCATCTCAAGACAATGAAAGTCTTCTTTATTAAACCCCCTTGGCTACATCAGCAAAATGGAGAGTCAGTTGGATTGATGAATTCTTTTGGGCAATAGCAACAAGGGAAGGTGAAATAAAGCAAGTTGAAGTATTTACTCAAGTGGACAGTCTTCAAATATTTTTCCAATAGAATGGCTCAAGGATTTTCCTAGATTTATTATGCTAGAGGGAAGGTGGGGGGGAAATATCTGTAGACTTTTGAGTTGAACTCTGCTCCTGCAGTGGTGTGAGCCCCCTGCTAAACTTGACAAAACACACCAGGAGGCAAAATTTACCTTGCTTGGGCTTTTTAGCAGGGAGAGGATATTTGGGCTACGAAAAGCAGTTTTTATACATAGGTATTAGTACTGAGGGTGACTGACTTCTATATGAACTCTATAAATAGGAGACTAAAATAAAAAGAGCACATGGAACTAGACAATCCTTTGTTAATACTGTTAGCAGAATTGCTGAGGACCATTCCTGAAAACATTGCTTTTATGCTATTTCCAGGGGAAAAACCAGATCTAGGTGTCCCCCCCCCAATTTTCTTCCATGGAAAATGCAAAAAGCAAAGGATTTTGATTAGTAACAAGCATTGGCAACAGAGTTAGGAAGTAGGGAGAGGTTGGCCAAGAGAGGTCAAAAAGATCTGAGGTGCTGGCTATGGGGAAGGGGCAGACAGGGCACATGAAAAAGAACTGAATGGGGACAGTTGAACTGATCAATGATGAAGCTAGCTGATATTTAAGTTACTTGTTATTTGGGGGCGGTAGGGGTTGGGGGCCATGAGAAGGAAGAGTTTTGTGTGAAACAAGTTGGGATGAATCTTTGAAAGGCTCACAAGAGCCACAGGGAGATTAGGTTGCTCTGAACCTTGTCTTTTAAATAGACACTAAAGTTTCAGAATTTACACTTTCTCGATTTTTAACTTCTTTTGCAAAGGAATCCTTTTTCTGACTCTAGTTTCTGGGCATAGTTTGAGTAAAAGAGGCAAAATTTAGGTTGTAAATATTCAGAAGTCTTTGCAAAGATAAGATCAGTATAGAGTTACATAATGTAACAGAAAGAAAACAAGGAGAATCATGTTATGAAAATACAGCTTCTAGTTATTTCAAGGGCCTTTTTTTAAAGGCTGAAGCAATAGGTAATAAGTTGCAACTATACAATAATGCTTTGTGTGCTGCCTTTCTACAACTAAAGGGAGTTCATTCGTATAAGTCTCATATAGGTTTGGTTTTATTTCATGAAATAAGTTAAGCTGATGTTGGTTTTTTGCAAAACTTTAAGTTTTCATGAAAATTGTTTAAAATCTCAGCAGCTCTCTCCTTCCCCCCCACCAAAAAAAAATAACCTCACCAGGAAAACGCAGTATGAATTATTAGTTTTTTCCTTTGCTAAAGAAGAGCTTAGTAAGAAATTGATGACTGCTGCTTTTGATTTAGAGGTTTCTTTTTCCTTCTGAAAGAAACAAAGTCACTACCACAAATTCTAGTGGGATTTCTTCTTTAAACAAGTCATGTTTTCCTTATTGAGTGTGCACTATTATTTTCTTAATTATTCCTGGATTTTTGCCTATTAAAC